CACCAAACCAAATCAAACCAAACCATAGTCGGGTTTTTTTTCTCGGATTATCGGGTTGGTGCGATTTGTCGGTTTCCTTTGTACACCCCTAGTTTTAGCATTGAATACATTATATTTTTAAAATTATAAGTTCATGTCTACTATTTTACAATTTTAATAAATTTTTGCATAAACTTTTATTTCGCGTAAAAAATTATGGGTTCGATTGAACCCATTGATAACACACTACATTCGTCATTGGGTTCACATGCCCCATTAGAAACCCCTAGATACGTCTAGCCAAGATTAACAAGAAGTTACAATGATATTTCTCATTTGCATGACTTAATTAATTTGAATTTTTACCTTATTTATTATTTAATCATATTAAGTCTATCGATTTACGATAAACATCAGATGCAAATAAATTTAACGTGGTATAAATCGGCAAACCTAAATTATAAAACTTAAAATATCGGCAAACCTAAATTATAAAACTTAAAATTGAAAATATTTCCACTAAAGCAGATGGGCAAATTAAAAATGTTGCTTCATATATCCTAAAAACTGTATATAACTCTTGTTTGAAATAATAATCACTATATTGACATTACTTTTACTTGCAGCCTTGTAATTTTGTGAAAGTTTAAAAAATAAAAATAAAAAATAAAAAATCGAAAACTACCTCTGTACAAACTTCGACTGCCGGAAAACCTTCATCGGACTTAGCAAATACCATCCTTTCAACCTCCCCGGCGACATGACATCATTTCCACCGGAGACTGACGTCATATCTACATTCGCCGATCTCGATCTCATCATCATCATCCTCGATAATTCCTTAATCCTCGTAGTATTGTAGTAGTGCTTATTTTCAGCACTACTTTTTTCTTTCAATTCTAATTCGTTCTCTTTCCCCTCCGTTTCTCCAGTTCTTTTCCTGGACTTAAAAATCCACCAAAACGACGCTGTTTTAGTACTCTTCTCACTCGCCGGCGGGTTTCTCCGGTCGCTGGTATTACTATCTCGCGATTTAACGAATGGAATTCCAACGGATTTTGATCTACACAACGCCGGCTCGCTGTCGCATCCTACGCCGCTGCTTCTGCATGAACAAGGGCGCACGTTAGCGCAGTGAGGGCAAAGTTTGGAAAGTCGATTGCGGAGGCAAATTGAACATACGCCAGGTCTGCGTTTCTTCGAAGGGTGTTTTGGACATTTCCATACTTCTTCTTCAATATAGTACGCCATTAATTTTCTAGTCTCTCCTCTTGTTGTATATTGTTCCTNATATATATATATATATATATATAGCCAAATAAAAAATGTAAGAAATAACAAAACGACGCGTTTTACTTTCTAAACTTGCAATGCTCAATGCATGCTTAGCCGTCTCATCTTTCTATAAAGACTTGTGCTACAATTATAATTTAAACATGTTCAAATATATTAGGTAAAAAAAATTTAAGCGATTTTTTTTTTCTCCATTTGGCTAAGTTTTGGGTAGAATTAATTGACACTTGTATTAGTGGGAGGTAGTAGGTCTGTAACTTGTGGTTTAAAACATATCACACACGTACCTATAATTATAAAATCTTGTTATTAAGAGTAAAATTAAAAATATAAAGTAAAATTAATTTTAAATATAAATTTTTTTTAAGGCAAATTGAAAAGAAAATGTGTCGTATAAAATGTGCAAGAAAAAGTAAATTTTATTGTGTATTTGATTTTTCTCAAGATTAATATAGGTGTCGAGTAACTCTTTTTATTAAGGTTTAAGCAATTAAAAGAAATTACCTAATTTATTTTTTCTCATTTAAAGATTGATCTCTCATAATTTTTGTTTGAATTAACATCATGGACTTCTAGAGCACACCCTTGAATGCTCTCTCTTTAAGTTTTATGTAATAACGGAATAAATAGAATATATTCATAAAAGTAAATTACAAGAAAATATCTACACTAAAAAGTGAATTGATAACTTGAGCAAAAGTATGTAATTTAGTTTATGCAATGAATTTTTTACACTGAAATTTTATACATACTTTATATTGTAAGTGCATAAAATTCAAAATTCAAAATAATATGGATACATAGACCAAAAGTAAAGATAAATAGGAGAATACAATATATATCAAATTAATGGCAGGAACAGTACAGTCATGCTTTCTAACCAACAAGAATTGATTTGTCGAAAGTGATAACAAAGTATGGGGCCTCCAAAAAAATCTATTTTAGATTTTGTGGTACTAATTGGAAAAGAAAGGAGTGACGTCTACATTCTTATTTGACTTTACCAATTTTAGGTTAAGATGTTTACATAATTCTTTCTTTATTAAAACCCAAGGCTTCACTATTTTTTTTATTATTTTTGTTTGGAAAATAATTAACTATAATATTAGGTATAACTGTAACTGAAATTGGCACGTTTTAAGCTACATCCAATACAAAGTCCACCACGAACAAGTCAACCTGTATAGTATGAGTGTTAGTGGTCGGTACGGTACGGTATTTAGATATTTCGGTTTGATATTTTCGGTATTCGATTTCATATAATGTTATATCAATACTGTACCTAATTAAATTCGGTATGGTTCGATTTTTCTCCTTTCGGTTTCGGTTTATTCGGTTCGGTAACTTTGGTTTATTCGGTTTGAATACTAACTAATGCATAGAGTCATAGACTGTAATATTCTTAATTAAAGTACTCAAGCGGGGTTGCTCTGATGGTAAGCAACCCCCACTTCCAACCAAGAGGTTGTGAGTTCGAATCACCCTAAGAGCAAGGTGGGAGTTCTTGGTGGGAAGGATGCAGAGGGTTTATTTGGAAATAGCCTCTCTACCCATGGTAGGGGTAAGGTCTGCGAACACACTACCCTCCCCAGACCCCACTAGTGGGATTACAACGGATTGTTGTTGTTGTTGTTGTTGTTGTTGTTGTTGTTGTAAAGTACTCAAAGTACAAAACTAAAAACGTTTGTTGACAGAAGTTTTGTCCAAACCCAGCAAATATCAGCCCAAAGAGAGAAAATTGTACATAAAGGAATAATTTGATCATTAGAAATGTCTTGTTACTTGCTTAGAGTTAATTGATGAACTTAGAGAATAAAGAAAAGTAAAATTTTAAATTTTTTATATTTATGTTATAATTAATAATATGTGTATTGTTAATATAATATATATTTCGGCACGGTATCAGTATTTCAATATTTTATTTTAAAATATCTAATACCAATTTTTTAAGACTTAAACCAAATAGCATACTGAATACCCTAATTTTCGATTTCAGTACAGTAATTCGGTATTTACCAAATTATGCGCAGCCCTACTTTACAATGGCGACCAACAAGGGCTATGGTGAAGTGGTAAGTACTCATTCATCATCAACCAGGGGTCTCGAGTTCGAGCCCGAGGTATAAAATCGCCTTTGTTAAGGAGCGCTTTACCCTCAATGTGAGACTTTCTGACACGAATTTAGTTGGGCTCCAATAAGAAAGCCAATAAGAAAACTGGACACCCGAATGGGAAAAAATAAATAAATAAAAGAATTAATGGCGTATGCATGATTCTTAACAGGCGATATTGACTTTTAAAGAAATACACAACTAACTAAATTATTGTAACCAAATTATATTGATAAAAGCAATCCAAATACGCTAGTTAAGCATATTATTGCATATATATAATTATATTGAAATTTCCTTGTTTTTTAAAGCATACCATAGCGTATATAGTTAAGAAATTTTTTGACACTGCTCGTATCAATGTGCTTCACCCTGTACCTTAGCCTAGCCTGGAGACACTAACAAAAGAAGAAAGTATATACCTCTTTTGTCTAGATAATTGCTTATAAATTATTAAAATGGTAAATAATGTTCGAAAGCAGTATTCCTAATCAAGTAATTAAGAGATCTCCTTATTAGTAGGAATTTATCTACTACAATACAGGTAGTACGTTGGGTCTTATGCTCCCAGATTATAGTAGAAGTGACACCAAGTAACCACTCTAAAGGATTGTTATTTGAGAATTAGTCGGTATGTCCTGAATTTCTATTTTTCAGTTTAATTTTTTGAGAAAAAAGTGTCCTGAATTTTACTGAAGTTAAGATTTTTAGTTTAAAATTTCATGACAAATTAAGTACTGGTTAATCTCTCAATAGCATCCCTGAAAATAACTACCTGTGCACTTGCTCCAAAACTATAAAGCAAGTAATGATTGTATTGGACCAAACGTGACCCAATACAATCCTAGGCCTTAGCCCAAAATTCTTCTTCAAGTCCTATGCCTCGACTTACGTATCGTTTGGATGGTTGTTTCCGATTGTATTGTATTGTATTGTATTGTTACTCTATATATAATGTTTGTTTTGATTGTTAATATAAAACTGATTGTATCGTATTGTTAAATTTATTATTCTGAAACAATGAAAAACTCAATTTGGTGAAACAACTAAATTGGTGTGGTAGAATTGTTCCGTATTTTCCTTTCTAGTTATGCCCACACTTAATATTCTATATTTAAATTTTATCCTTTACCCTATTATTTATATTATATTCACCAAAATAATTAGTACTTTGTCTCCATCTTCTTTCTGTCGTGCAACTAGTCAACGACGTACTTCCCTAGTCTTCGTCTCTTTCCAACAATATTTTTACAGGTTAGTTTTCATCTCTTTTCTTAACTAATTCCACTGTTGCTAAGGGAATTTTCCTCTAAATAATAAGTGCCTAGAAAAAACTGGCTGAAAAAGGTATCATTTATATACACGGCAATAATGTTTACAACATTATCTTTGCTTGCATCCCAAAAATCTGAAATAATTTATGTAGTGACATTTGGTTGAAATTTTGTTTTTCTAAATATCGATTCAATTTCTTTTGCTTAATCAAGATTCGTGCCTTGCCTTCTCCATAGCTTATTAATAACACTTTTTCTCAAACAATACGTTGGTTTTCCATCTCTTTTCTTGTGTATTTTTTTCTGGTTAGTTCATCTATGATATTTTCAAACTATATGTTCTGGTGATATAATTTATCAAGTTAATATCATGGTTTAAAATGTAGCACGAAGTTATTAGTTTGATGCAGTCAAAACCGATAAAAAATGTAAAACATGAATTATGTGTGGCTTCTGTTGTAACAAATAAATTTGCTTATATTTTTTTCTGTTTACTTAATTAATTTAGTGTAATGTGATGAAATATTTGACCAGAATTCTCTTTTTTTGTACAATCCTATTAGTATGTATCTGAATTCTCCTTCATACTTCATAATGTGTTCTATGAAGAAGAGTTTATTTTCGGTTTATATTTATTTTACGTAGTTAATTGGTTGATGTATCTCACTTAATTTTATTATAGATGGCTGATTGGAATAATCAAAATAATAGACAGATATTGGAACAAGTGAGCTCTTTAGCTACATATGTTGCTTGCTTAGTAGCTATTTGGTGTTGGACTTATGTACGTGAAATTGAAACTGACTGGTGTATGATCACACATGATGTACGACTAGAAAGTGAATAAGTTAGACAAGAATTATTGAGTCATTTATTCTTAATTGAACTTTGTCGTAATATTATAAGAATGACCCCTTTAGCTTTTACCGATCTATGTGAGATGTTAATGATTACGCTCAACTATTCCTTATAAAAAGGACTAAGCGGACATTGCAAATATAATCTGAGTATTTCGCCTAGAGTCGGACCCACAAGGAATTAACCTGTTAATTACTCTTGTCAGACTCACTAAATTCTACGTAATCAACTTCTCAAATGTTTTGAATAACAATTAAGGATATTTTTACTAACTATGAAGGACTGCAATTAAGTAAATAAAGACTAAGTATGATTAAGTTGTAAAACAATTAAGAGAAGGATTTAAGGTTGTGATTTTCCTTATTGATGGAATCCCTTCCAGTTATGTTTCACATAGATTTTCCTAATCATCTCTATCGATCATGAGCACTCTTATTACCGTAAATCTCTCCTGAGTAAGTACGACAATTTACTAGACACACTCTCTCGAGTTACGCTAGCTGGCCTTGATTGCAGCTCACTTTAGATCACACCCAAGGCTTCGTTATCCCAAATCCCTCCTTTAAACCCACGGTTATTGATCCCTCATATACTTTGGGAGTGGTGATATTCAACAATTGCCTAAATATGCACTCTCTCCCGAGTAATACATACTAAATAGGCACAGCTAATTGAGGATTCTATCAATTAACTACAACAAGAGCGTAGTTGCACA